GGTTTAAATTTCTCATCAAAACAGAAGAAATCAAAAGGTGCGAATTTGAAAATGTTTTTATCATAAAATTGTTTATCTGTAACAATTGCTTGAAATGCTTGAGTGTTAGGAAGACATGGATCGCCAGCGATTGCCCAATAAGATGAATCAGTATCACTTTCAATGAAATGAAAACGATTAACATTCAAGCATTTATACATAAAATCATAAATGAAAACCAAATACCAGTATTTAGCATTATCTAAAGTGAAGAATGCCTCTTGTAAACATGTATCACATCTATAAAATCTATCTTTGAGCATCACTTGATATGTATCCTCTCCTATTTCTCTTATGTTTTTAAACTTATTTGACATACATGCAACGCGTGCCTTCTGTGCATTCATTATTTTAGTCTTTGCGTAATTTTGTGTATTCATTGCATCGTAACCATATGATCCATTAAGTGAAATCTTGCAAAATAAACTTTTTCCTTTATTTCCTTCTAATTCAGCCTTTTATCTTTCGTTCATAAATTTGTTCGCAAATTCATTAAAACAGGTGTTTTTAGTAAATGTTAAAATTGATTGAATATCATCGATGATAAAATGAAATCTGTCTATTAGATACCAAAGATAATAAGAAGAAAATGGTTGATATTGGTTGTGTGTTGATGCTAATTGAGTTAATTTCCTCTGTTTCTGGTCAACCGGTAGATTGTTTGATTTCATGTAATTATACATAAAACCGCCAATTGTTTTTTCATCTGTGATAATATCTAAGTTTCTTATTATCGGTAAAAAGTTTATGTAATCATTAATGTATTTTTCATCAATGTGACCCTTTACTTCAGCCACGAATAAAGTATTTTTCTTCTTAATTATTCCCAGTGCTTTTGCTTTCTTTGTTGCTGTATCACAAATGATAACACCATTCAATCTTCCCGGCATACACATTTTATGGTCAGTATATTGAATGAAATCATGAGGATTAGATGAAAATGATGAAGGATATAATGAATTAAAATCAACACCAACGAAATGAGTCATGATGTTGGTGGTGTCCTCATTTGATACAGTTTTAGTTTCTGGATTATATGAAAGTTTATTAATGTGCGTGATTCCTTTAAGATTAACACGATGTTGAACATTTGATAGACCACCAGTAATTCCATTACGGAGAATGTGATAAGCTTCAACTGAATCTAAAGTCATTGGTAAATTATTTTTTAATGCGTAATTTCTTAAATTGATTCTTAAACGTTGAACATCTTCATCTTTATTTGATTTCACGACATTGCAATAACAACACATTAACTGACAATTTTCTTTAGTATGTGGTTTTTCATTATCGATTCTATCCAATGTTAGTTTATTAGCATATGTAAACGCTTTACCACACATTTTGCATTTAGATGAAAGGATTAAATCGTGATAGTATTGAAAATCATCCATTGAAACATTATTTTTAGTATCCCTTTCTGCTTTTTCATCTTGTTTCTTATATGATTCAATTTTATATTTCCAATACTTTTTCGTTAATTCAAAACTTGATTCTATCTCTTCCTCAGGATATTTTTCATTAGGATTAAAGTCTTTATATGCTAAAGCGTAACGAATCATTGAAGCATTCGATGATAAAGAAAGATTATGAAGCATGTCAATTTTATAAACAAATGTTTCTTCAATAATTTTATCAATTGGGTCAATCATAATTTCAACATCTTTATTGCAATAATGAATAAAATATTCTAATCTATTCTTAAAGTTTTTAGCATCATTGAGATATATTTGATAATCACTATCTGATATAGTTTCTTGGGTTAATGCTGAATAAAATGAATCTTGAGTGAATGGTTCCTCTTTATATAATTCTTCTTCGTAATTTTCCCATGTGATAAATTGATAAGGGAAAAAGGATTTAACACGTGATTTATTGTTTCCGAAATCTTGAGTGAATTGGTCTAATGTCCCACCCGCTATATAATTTCTGATGTCAATAAATCTCAATTCATATGGAACGTTTGTTTTCTTTACAATGATTTGCTTAAATTGTGAAGATGAACCCAGCATTGATTTTATTTTCCATTTTGCAGTGTTTAAATCACGAAGAATTAAATTTAAATCAAACTTTCCCGAATTAAAACCTATGATATTCACTTTATTGAATTCCTCATCTAGAAGTTCTTTAAATGCTTCCTTCTGTTTTTCATTTAATGTATGAGACAAAGTCCCCGCCGTTTGGTCTGAAAGACCTTCAGGACTCAAAGAGTCCGTTTGCGACTTCATTAATTCTTCATATTGTTCAATATTTGATTTAGCAACTAATGAACAGGTTGAAAATAAAAACTCAATCCAACCAGAAATAAAAGAATCACTCGAAGTTAAGCAAAAATTCCTCGTATATGTTTTATCATTTAATTTAACCGTTGATGATACCATGAATGGTTTTAAGTAAGCGTTCAAAGTTGCACACTCAGAAAGTTGTAATTCTTCTTTAGTCTCTAATGTTTCGAAGTCAAAAGTAATATAATATCTTGTCGGTTGATAATATTCCTGCAAATTGTGAGCTAATAACCACTGATATATCTTCTGTTTCGTAATATGTGGTGCATATGGTTGCTGTGCCTTTTGCAACTGAACGTCTTGAATTAATCTTCCATTATTTTCTTTACATTTCTCACAATGCTTTAAAAATCTTCTTTGGTTTTTCCTTTCTGGATCATCACGGATAGAATAAACTTCTTCTTTACAATATGGATAAACTTTATAGCCGGTGAGTGCTTCAACGTCTGTTATTCTGTCAGCGTGAAGTTTTCCACATGGACTCTGTGTTAATAAAATATTTACTGTTTCAAATTCTGGATCTATCATTATTGATTCCACTAATGGAAAGTCTACCTTATTTATGTCCACGTCTTCTGGTTGAGGATCACAATAATAGAAATCAATATTAACATTTAACATTCTCGCTAATCTCTCACTTTCTGATGAAATGTCAAACCCTTCATATGAATCTATTGCTTCATTTAAATAGCTTCTACGAGTTTTAGGATTAGCACCATCAGGAATGTTATAGAAGCGTTTAAATAACCTTCTACCTTCTGCTCTAATTTGATTATCATTCATTTTAGCTGTTCCGTTTTTGTTCATTTATGTAAGAATAAAAAATTAAAAAATAAATAAAAATAAAGTTTATTTTTTAAAGCCCATAAAATGAATTAAGAACACATAAATTTTTATCATCTGCAACGTGACGAATACATTTTAATTTACTCAAGAATGTGTACCCTGATACATTAAATCTAATTCCTGTCTTATTTAATTTCACAACTTTGAAAAGGAATGTATGAATAGCTATAAAATGATGAGAAGATGTTTTATGGGTTGCTTCCATTTTTTCTGAAATAAATGAATAAATATAATGTTTATAAGTTTTCATATCTTTTATATTCTTAATAACGAATGGTATAGACCTTTCAACTTCGTCTTCCTTCGGTGCTGTTCTTTCATATGAAACATTATTAGTATCTTCAATAATGAAACCACAATCACACAAAATTTTATATGTTCCAATGGTTTCTTTTGATATTTTATCTAATAAATCAAAAACTTTATCAACACCTGTGCATTTATTTAAATAATAATTTGTGTAAATATCATGATCTTCTTTCTTAATCGTATTAGTTGCATATGTCACGTTTTTTAGTGCTTTTTTGAATTTTTTGGAATCTAAAGGTGGTGAAAGTAGGATACAGGGGTATTCTTCATTATCAATAAATTGTAACTTATGTTTACGAATAAATTTAGTACCTTCTTCTGAAAGTGTTTCGTCTATTTCACCATCTAATAAATTTTGTGTTGATTCTGAGACATAATTTTTATATCTTTCTTCATGAGATTTCTGAACTGCTGATTCTGAAGCTGGGATATTCATTAAACCCTCTACTTCATTTTCAACTTCTCTTAATTCCTTAATTTTTTCATCTATTTCATCTCTTATTTTTTTCAGTCTTTCAATTTCATCATATTCATCATCTTTAATCCGTTCTTCATAATATTCAGGGAAAACATCAGGTTCTTTAGGTTTTTCTTCTTCAGATGTGGGATATAAGAAATTTATAACATCATCTTTATTCATTTTTCCATCATAATCTAAATCATTTAATAACTCGGCAAATTTTTGACAATTTCTTAAATAATATTTACTAACTTCATAACACATCTCATCTAATATATCCTTTATTTCCTCGTTTGTGAATCCTAATTTTTTAACGTCGTTAGTCTTGACACTCATTTTATACGAATTAAAAATAAATTCTTTTAAAATGTAAGACATAATTTTTTAAAGTTTATTTTTTTATTTTTTATTTCATTATGGTAGTGAATCTTTTACTCGTTTATGAGGTCTTTGATTATGACTCCATTGATTCCATTCAGGATTTAAACAATGTTTAATTAATCGCGGAATATCTGACATCATCTATATATAGCTTCTTTTATAAAAGATGAAATAAATTATTTTAAAATTAATGTTAATTTTTTAATGATTTATAAATAAATATATTTTATTTTTTATTTCATTATGTATGGGCTGAGTGTAAATGTCTTACAATTTTGAAAATTTTTTAAATCTTGATTTATTCAAAAACGTAAGAATAAAAACCGTAAGAATCATACATTTTTTACTTCATATGTTAAAAAAAATGATACAAAATCGCTCGATATTATATGAATTCTTACGTTTACAAAAAAAGTCACACAACCCTTCAACATATACTACTATGATAGGTATTGAAAAAACTTATGAAAAAAGAGGAAACAACACAGAATTCTCTTCAAATGAACCCGGTTATGGTTTTATATTGGCAAAAATGGGAATATAAATTTTAATATGTCTGATCAAGGCATTCAAATAAATACTATGAATTACAAAGTATTTATAAGCATCAAATCGATTCATATATTGAGCTATATCAACTGAAAACAGAAAATGAAGAAGAATTAAACTGAATTTACAAAATGATCAAAGCCGAGTTGATTTATTCAACGAAATATCTTCATTTTGCGGCAATGAATGATAGTAAAGAAACAGCTGAACTTCTTATCTCTCACGATGCAAATATCAGTGAAAAGGATGAAAATGGAGTAACTGCTCTTCATTTATATAATATATATATCTTAAGATATTTTATATAATTCGAATTTTACTTTATATAAGAAACAAAAAAAAAATAAAAATAAATAAATAAATTAAACAATAGCTAGTTGAGCTTGTTCACGCTCAATAATTGTCTCAATTTCCTGAATTGTATCATAAGAAATCTTATGGAAACCTTCAGTTCTGAAGTAGAAAGAGAATTCGATTGGAATTCCTGTGTTATACAATATTTCGTAGGGATCTCTCGAAATAGATATCTTGTGAGCAGGAGATCCCATTGCTAGAATCAAATCATATGGATTGTCATCTCTCATATCGAAAACAGGGGAAAAATCCAATCCGAAACTAGCATGTGTTGCTTTAACTTTCGAAACAACGCAATGAGGTTCGCAACCCAATTCAGTGATTCTCTTTGATATCTTAAGAGAAGCGCACAACAAAGTAATCAATGCCCTGAAATGCGAAATGTTCTGATCCAAAAGTGCCGAATAAATCTTTATCGCCATTGTTGATCTCGCGACTGGCCAAAGATGTTGATATTCTTTGCACTCTTTTATAACAATTGTTTTGACTTCTTCAATTATATCAATACTGTCAAGTTTATTGATATAAAAAGTAGCAACAAAAGCATTGTTCACCTGTATAGAACTGAATGATTCTTCCCCGGCTAATGCTTCGTAAACTTCAGGTGGAATAAATTGTAAACCTAACAATTTTAATTGGTTGAGTTCATTTCTCCATAATCTTGTACTTTCGTATTCCCTTGTCTTATCTCTGATGACACACACGTAATTCACTCTTCCGCAGTCTAGTTCTATACCATCCAACTTGTACTTGAGAGCTTCCATGACGACATCTTTCTTTTTTTCGTCTTTTGGATGAAACAAAATTTTGTCGACGTCGTTTTCGTCTGTTCCATCATTTGGGATGATATTTGCAATGGATTTGATGGCGTCATCGAACTTCATGCCTTCTAATGGTGGAGCGGAAAGGAATTCTTCAATTACCATAGAAGATCTGATAATTACATTTTGGGAATTCAACAAAATGTGGTTTTCTAATAGATCATCTCTTAATTCTTCACTGTTGAGTAGATCTATCACGACAGCTGATGATTTCTTCATCTCTTCCTCGCGAGTACTCAATGTCAAATTTGTAGAAATTTGACCTTTATTTGTGTCAAATTTTGGCATGGTCGAAATTATGGATTTCGAGATTGTGTTGAAGGAAAGCCAGTATGTGCCGCTGGAAGTGCTGATGGAGAGTATGAAGGCGATGAGGCCAATGGAGATGATGGCGGAAAGAGTGGAATAAAATTGAATTTGGTGATTTGATTTGTCTAAGCGAGTTGACAGGGAAACAGCACAGAAATTGGTGTACATGGTGGATGTGGTGATGATTTGGGAAAGAATTTGGTCGAAATTGTCCGTTTTGTAACGTTCGGATTTGATATCAAAGATATTAAGGGAAATAATGTCAATTGAAGTGAACAGAGCTCTTCTGTCGGTTGGAGCATTGACTTCTGTGGTAATATAAAGTGAAATGTCAACAACTTTTGGTGAATTCTTGGAAAATTTCTGCATTCCGCTCGCAACCATTTGTCTCGCGAAATCTATCATGGTGAATAAGTTTTCTGTGTGTTTGGCTCTCATTTCTGTTGTTGCTGTCTCGTTTACGGTCGAATCTTCCAAGATTCTTCTTCTTTGATTTTCTTCTTCGTCCAAAGCATTTTCAATATAGTTTATTTTGGCTTTGCACTGTTTTGGTTCATTTTCTTGGCGTTCGTCCGAAAGAGGAAGTCTATCGTCTGACAGTGAACTTCCCCTCAAATTGGGAGAAATTGTAAACATCGAGTTAAGTTCTTTTATCTTTTCTAGTGTTTCTTTAGTGATTTTCTTCGATGTCGACAATTTGGAAAATGCCTGTAATGTGTTTAATGTGCTTCTGAGCATTCTTAGTGAATTTGTTGATGAATCAGAGTTATATACTTCATCATTCGAAGACAACAAGAATAATTGACCAATCTTTAGCATCTGTTGTGACAATAGATAAGCATACGATGATATTCCGATATCTGTTGCGTTTTCTTTAAGAGAAACCCAAACTAATTCGTTCATTCCCCAAGTTATTGCAACAAAAATCAAAAATACAGCTGTGCGTTTCAATACTAATGTTCTCTCTATTGTCCTATTGGTCAGAGAGTTCGTATGTGTCTTAGAAATGATTAATTCTCTGTTATATCTTACATTATTATCTTCCTGTTGGCCAGAATTGCTGCTGTCCTTCACCCATGATATTAATTCACGTGTTTTCTGGATCAGATCTGTTTTTGAGAGCTTAAACAAAGATTGGAAGCTTGAATTAATTGATTTCGTCAAATTATGAGAGAAAAACCACAAAAGAATAGGTCCGAGTATGAGAAACACTGCCATCTGTATTCTGCAGATCAATGTGACCAACCTGATGAGTTTTAGAGCGTAATTGCATAAAGATGTGATTGTATCATCCAAAATTGCAGAAAAAATGACCAAATCTGTTGTACCTTTGACGTATATCCCATCATAACCAGGATCCCCGCCTTCCACAATGTTTTGGAAGCTGGAAGCGAGAAATCTGATTGATGACTCAACAGTTGATGGAATTCGAGTCACATTGAAAGGATGAACAAGCCAACTTTCAATTAAACCGTCAAATTTCCTATCTATAACGTATTCTTTGATTTTTGACGTGTAATTTGTAATGGAATTTGTCATTGACTGCAAATCAGCTGTTAGATTGGTCAGTCTTGTTGGGAACAGGGATGTATCGTACACGTCACTTGAAATCATCGATACATTTATGGAATTGTTCAATTTAATCAAAGTTGTTATGAAAGAACCGGCGGAAATGGACTGTAAGATATTGTAAGCATCTATTGATGCGTTCCAGATGCTTTTGACCTCACTCTTGGCCCATCCATTCATTGCCAAATTAAAAGTATATAAAATTATTCCGATATACACTAAAATATACTGAGTACAGTGCGAGTGTATGTTGGAATCTTCGTTTCTGTTGCCAGATCTCGATACTAACGCATAAGTTAGGTTATTATTTTCAGTTTCTGTGTTGTAATGCGTTATTTCACAGAAAGTTGAGTATATTTGGCCGAGATTTCCTGATTTCCCGTACTGACTGAATATATTTGTGAGGTTTAAGTAGTTATTTGCCACATCATTTGACAATGAAACCAAATGTTCAACGTTATCGTTAACGATTTCGTTCCAAAACATGCCGAGAGTGTTGGAATAGTCATTGAGAATAGCTTGAGCACGAATTGTGACGAAAGTTGGCCTGACAATATTTTCATAGTAAATTAAACGGACTTGGTAGATAGTATTATTAGGTTTGAGTTCTGTTATTGTATCTAATGCCTTTTTCATGCGTTCTTCGTTGCTTATTTCTTGAGAAACTAAAAATAAAATTTCATTAATTATAATACTACCGGAATTTCTTGATTCTAAGTAATCTAACAGCTCGTTCGGGAAATCCATCTTCGCTGCTGCCCTTGTAATGATGTTTTCGAGGTTTGTTGTACCGTATTTGTCAAGATTTTGGTAAGAATGCATCTGAATTGCTTCTCTAACAGGAATTAATATGTATTCCGATGTAAAGTATACAATTACCGATACGATTACGAAGCTAATATTAAGCATTATCAAGTAAAACGTGATATATGATTCTCCATCGAGTTTTACGAAGATTGTAATGATATTAATTAGACAGCCGACGATAGTAGCGAGTGAATATAAGATGTGAAGATTTGAACTTGCGTTTTTGATTTGAAAAAACAGATAAATTACCAAAATTGCCAGAGAAATGCCGTTTATTAGGCCAACTGTTAGGGAACTTTTGATGTAGAAGTTGAAACTCGGCACGAAGAACTGAAAAATTGATATTATGTAGTTGACAATGATACGTTTATGATTAAAAATCAAATCTTTCTTAGGAAGGCCGTATTGTATGAAGTATTCGATGTATGTTGAAAAAATAGTTAAAGCTAATGTAATAATGCAAAGTAAAAACTGTAAATAATGATCAGTAAAAGAACCGGAAAAAATGTAAGCAATTGCAGCATAGCTTGCCGGAATGATGATAACATGTAAACCTACAACAGCTAAAGCGAATGGTATAAAGGAGATCTTGTTTTGATGATTGCCAATGTAAAAGAAATAAATTATGATTGAAAGTATACCATAATAGACAAGACATATGCATACCAACGAGTAGGAAAGATAATCTAAATCTTGGATTTCTTTAACTCCTGTCCAAAATGAAAATATGCATTGTAAAAGAGTTAAAAGTGAATTTTTTGTGGTTTCCGATTTCCATTCGAGCTTCGATGAACAAAATAAGAACTGAGCAACTATTTGTATGCCAAAAAAGATAAGTCCGATGATGAAAATTAATCTTATTCGAACTACTTTGTCTTCAATGGCGTTAAGGAGATTAAATAGCTTCTGCTGTCTTTGTTGTTTACCGATTGGGCCTATTAAATCAGAAAGCGCTCGAGACATTTAAAGAAAAAAAAGTATTACAATAAAAAAAATTACGGTGAAAAATAAACAGGGGTAATTATACTTTCAAAAATATTGATAAGGTACTACCCCCTATAAATTTCATGTAAAATCAACAATATTGGATCGATATATTATTTATCTTGAGAGGAGATTTTTCAATTTGTATTGTAAAGTTTTTCAATGTGATATTTTGAAAGGAATGAGTGAAAGGTTGAATTTTGAGAGAAAATGCTATTTAATTCAAATAAAACGTAAAATCTTGATAATTAGTGCATACTAGGATTATATCTAATTTATTCAATTTTTTGTGAATGATCAAAATTAACAATTGATTTTACAATAATATTACTAATTAAAATATCTTTTAAATTTTAAAATTAAAAAAAAATCACAAACAAAAATTTATTTGAAATGAGTGTGCCGTAATATAAGTGAGATAATTTGTCGTTTTAGAATTATTTTGCTTTATTATCATTCGAAAAGTAAGAAAAAATAAAATGAAAAAAAATACATGGGCGCCTTTATGAAATTGACAATGAAATACTATCTAGTGAGTAAAATATAAGCAATGTATCGATCCCAAAACTAATAACAACCACATTTTCACCATCAAATTTTTTTCAAAATCAAAATAATGAAGAAAATTTTATTGTTTTACTATTTGCAAGAATGGATTTTGAAAAAATTTTGGAAAAAGAAAAAGAAAGAAAAACATGCAAACATGCCAAATCAAGCAATTTTGCTAATTAATCATCGCATTTTATTTAAATTATTCATGATAAATGAATTTTATGCAAAATGTATTGATTAATAGACGATAATTCAAACATTTATTTTTAAAGTATATCTACAAACATTTAATATATATAATATAATCTATTTGGTAAAAGACATCATGTCTAGAGACATTAAACCTGATGAATCAGATTCCATGGGTATTGGGAATCCATTATGCAAGAGTTGATTGTTAATTTTAACTTGATGCATCATTTTTCGAATTGATTGTCTCAAACTCTCTTCCTTTGCCGTTGCCGACTCTCTAAGTTCAGAGTACTGCTTTTGCATATTATTCAATTCGTCCAGCAATGTAAGTTTTTGCTGAACCAAGGAAGCAATTGATGCTTCATATTCTTGTTCATAATAGTATGTATTTTGATCTTCGTAAGCGGTTTCGCTTAGTGGTTCTTCAATTTCATAGGATTTATTTGATATTTGCTGTATTTCTGAAATTATTTGATCAAAAAGCTCAACAGATTGATTAATTCTAAACGTGAGGCTTTGTATGCTGTTATCAAGGTAGTTCAATTCCTTTGAACTTGCCTTTTCGAAGTCTTGATTGCGAGATTGCAATTCTGCTGATTGTTTTTCATTATTTTGCAAGATTTTTGTTATTTGAGCCTTGTATTCGTTCACGTCTCGCTCAATGATAGCGTTAGATTCTTTAAATGTAGTAATGTTTTGGTTGAGTTTTTTGATATCGTATTCTGGATAGGAACATATAATCCGTCCCAGTTTCATTTTTGATTGTAAGCTTTTATTAATTTCGTTCGCTGCTTCTAATGTGGAAGATGTGTTAAAATTTGGCCGCATTTCGGATAAAATTGTCGAATTTAACTGTGATAATGAATTCATAAGTTCTTTTGATTCGAATTTCAATTTTTGATTATCGATTTGGGAAATACTCGGCTTATGAACGTGAAAATTAATATCAATGTCAGAATATAAATCAGTTTCTTTGTAGTTTAATAATTCGGTCATGTACTCTCGTTTTTGCTTTTCATTTTCAATTTCAAATGATAAAGTGTCAATTTGAGTCTTAAGTTGAGCATTTGACTGACAACATTCAATTAAATCACTCATAAGATATTGTATGGATGAATGTGCAGTTTGGGATATTGAATCTTTTATCTGTTCTTTGATTAATAATAATTCTTGATTCGTTAATTGAGTGTTTTTAATATTTTTCAGATTTTTCTGCATCTGCTTTGCCTTCTGACGAAGTTCATATATATCAAGCTCGAGTTTACGTATTCGGTTTTTAGATTTCCGACTTTTACTCGAATTACTTGGTTTTGGGGATTTCTTAGAAAAGAAAGTGTTGTACGTAGACGTAGAATCAGTTGAGGTTATGTTTCCTATATGAACTATTGTCTCTGTCGCTGATCCTGTAGTTGCAGAAGACATTAGCTGTCACTTTTCATTTTGCACCTTACATTTCCTTTTTTTCATTAGAGAAGATATTTGTAGTGAGTAGGCATACATCAAGCTCACTCACTTTGTGAACATTTCTCGCTCTCTGCCCGATCAATGACCAGAGAATCGCAACAGAATTAAACATTTTAGAAAAAAATTTTCGCTTAGCTTGAGAATTTTTGATGAAAATGCCTTTAATAACCTTCTCTGCATTTTGTAATGCGATTCAACACTTACTTAACAATAAAAATTTAAAATTAAAGTTATGTATTATCAATTTTGATTGATGAACCGATTTCTTCTTTAGATTCCTTTAGCAACATGTCACTTTTTGGCCGTGTGGAAAGCTCGTTTTCAAAGGTAGTAAGCATTTTATAATCTTTTTATAATCTTTGAAGTGTTTACCCAAAAGGATATAAGGGATTGTTTGTGATTCAAGTGCTTATTATAAGAACATCATAATATGAAGAATATCTTTGAGAGATCTTTTTGGTGAAAAAAATTTTATACATTTTCTCTAAAATCTATGTAATTTTGATTGTACATATTATGCTTATAATTTGTGTCGTTTATATACAATTTTCTATTGAATCAAAATTTTTATAAAAAATAATTTTTTTTATAAATGGATTCGTCTTTATTAGCAAATATTATCAAGAAAGCAAATGCTAATGAAGATTGTAGCAAGGAAATCAAAACAGCTGCAAGTAATCTCACAGAACTATCACAACAAAATGAATTTTATCAATTACCTATTCCAATCATTGCCAGAATCATGTCGAGGAAATCTTCCATTGGCGCAAACACAATCACACGCATAATAATGAAAATAAAGGACTTTCAAGCCAAAGATTTAATGGATGACGTCGAAGAAGCTCAAAATCAATTAAAAGCAACAATGGTCAGAAATACCGCATTGCAATTAGAATTACGTCTAGCACTTGAAGAAAATAAAAATTTACACGATCAACTTGAAAAACTTAAGTCAGACAATTTAATATTGAAGAGTGAAAATCAAAATAATGTCAGCTATGAATTAGACGAGACAGAGGTACTTCCTATCGAAAAACCGAGCGATTACGAGCCAAATATCTACAAAGCATGTGAAAAAGGCCTTTTGTCATCAGTCAAATATACAATTACAAACGAAGACTTCGATGTTAACACTCCAAATGAGACAGGCGACATTCCACTTACTATTGCTGCTTTCAACGGTAAAGCAGACATTGTCAATTTTCTTTTACATGTTGGGGCAGATATCGAATACACGAATGCCTTTGGAAACAACGCATTGATGGAAGCATCCCAAGGCAACAGACCAGATACTATTAAAGAATTGATTGCTTTTGGAACTCCTTTAGAAGCAACTAACCCTAAAAACAAAAGAACAGCCTTAGACATCGCAGCCGATGCCGGCGCGAAGAACGCAATCGAAGCACTTGTCCTTGCCGGTGCAGAAATCGAAGCTAAAGGCAAAGACGGGCTCACACCTCTTTGCATTGCCTGCAAAAACGGTAACAAACGCGTTACTCCAACATTAATCAACTGTGGAGCGGACATAAATGCCAGGTCACCAGATGGCCAGACTCCTTTGATACTCGCAAGTGCGGCAGGAGCATTAACAATTGTCAAAAATTTGGTTGACAAGGGAAGTAACATTTCTGATGTAACGGATTCCGGTGACACCCCCTTATTAATGGCTTGTTCAAATGGCGCTGATAATGTTGTCACTTTTCTCCTTGAAAAAGGTGCCAGCATTGAAGTTCGGAACAAAGATCGAAAAGGTCCAATGTATTTAGCAACACAGTCAGGAAGTGAAGACACTGTTTCCATTCTTTTACAATATGGATGCGATGTAAATGAACGCGGAAAAGATAACGCAACTCCTTTGTATGTTGCTGCTCAAAATGATTACATTGAGATTGTGAAATTACTTCTTTCTAAAGGTGCTGATGTAAACTTAATGACTCGTTATGGAGATACTCCTTTGATCGAAGCTTGTGGAACAGGATCTCTCGAATTAGTTAATTTACTTATAGAAAACGGTGCTGATTTGGAACACGCAAATAATGGAGGTGAAACAGCTCTGACTGCTGCTTGCTCTGAAGGAAGAGCAGAAATTGTGGCAGCGCTCATTGCAAAAGGAGCTAAAACTGAGAATAAAACAAAATATGGAAATACACCTTTGCTGGAAGCTGTGTCAGAAGGAAATGTAGAAATATGCCAGGCACTTTTGAATGGAGGAGCGGATATAAACGCTCTGAATAACATGTCTATGAATGCTCTGCATATAGCTGTGTCAAATAGTGATGTGGAAGTGATCAAACTGTTAGTTGAGAAAGGAATAAATAAGAAACAAGTGGATGATGACGGAAAAACTCCACTAGATTTAGCCAGTGAAGACGAAATTAGGGAATTGATTAAGTAATTATATATATGTGTATATTTAGCTTTTATTTGTTTTAATTTTTTACGAATATGATGTTTTTATACAGAATAAAAAAATAAAAATCTTACAATTGAAAAACCAAATTTCATATTTTTTTAAAGGAGAAAAAGGCACTGTAAGAATTCAATTTCTACCGTCCTAATTTGTAACATAACCTTATTTTTTTCAAACATTTACTTTCTTGGTTAAGAAAGACATCTGATAATATTTTATAATTATAAATGGTCAATCATTCAATTTTTGAATACAATCTGAATAAAGTGTCAAATTATACCATGGAAATTTTCATCTACTTTTTATTCATTTATTCCACAAGTATTGGATCTCTTGGGTTCCTAGATGAAACTAATCAAACTGTTGTTAATTGTACATGGGACCTTGTTGATGCTTTGATACCAAATACGGTGTTAACAATAAATCAAAATGTCTTTGAAAAGTGTAAATATAGTATAAAAACTCTTACATTTGAAGTAAATAGCCGCGTTCTAAGTATCAGCAAAAATTGCTTCTCTGGTACATATCTGGAAACTGCAGATCTCAGTGAATGCAAAGAACTTACACTACTTAACAAATCTGTCTTCTATTGGTGCACTAAATTGAAATCAATATTGCTTCCTCCTAAAATTTCCACAATAGGGAGTTTTTGCTTTTGTTATAATTCTGTATTAAGGGTGCACCCGTATGTACGTTTATTTGAGAGGAGGAGGATTACCCTCTCAATTTTGAGGGATTCGTTAGTTTATTTTCTCGATGAATATGCAATAAAATTTGATTTTTACCTTATCAATATACTTCATATAATATACACATGTTCATGTAAAAACTTTTTTCCAAAATCCTCAGGAATTAAGGGATTTTTGAATTTTAAGAATTTTTTTCGAATTTTTTCGAAAAAAAAATATTTTCAGAACAGCCTTAACGGCTAAGATTTAGGAACAATGTTAAGTATCAAAAAGAAAGGAGGTCTGATATAGACAACATATATCGTTGAAGGTTGAAAAAATCTCTAATATTTGAGCCCAAAATTTCAAATTTTAATTTTTTGAAAAAAGAGGCCACCCGTATGTACGTTTATTTGAGAGGAGGAGGATTATATTTTTGAAAGGGTGAAACATTATGAATATGTTAATTATATAATAATATGTATTATTATAAAAAAGAAAAAATAAAGCACGTTAAAATTTTTCTTTCTTGATTTTTTACAAAATCTACTTAGAATTATGCAAAATATGACTAAATAATTATAAATTAAAAAAAAAAAAAAAAGGCATTGGGGGTTCCAGGGCTGCGCCCTCTACCCCCCTGAAGATGTTTAGTATAACATGCAGTTTATATAAAATGAGGTTTTTTTTGGGGTGTGGGGGCTTCCAGGCACTTCGTGCCTTCTAGCCCCTAAAATTTTTTGAAAGTCGTTGCTGTTAACTTTTTGGTAGAGGACTCAAAATAGTAGAACTATGTCCGGACAAGTAAGGGTCTATCGTCGCTACAGAAAAGTTACGGGCGTTCAAAGAAATATACTTTGAGAGACTCTTTAGAAACTTTAGACGTTTTACATAACCATCCATGCTTTTACTTTACATCCGATAAAAGTGGTTTGGAAACCGTTATGAGATGGTTAGAGGACAAAGTCTTTACGATGAAGAAGAACTTGACAAAGTCTTTACGATGAAGAACTTGACAAAGTCTTTACGATGAAGAAGAACTTGACAAAACATTGACAAGAAAGTTCATGACAAAGTCTTTACGATGAAGAAGTCTTGACAAAGTCTTTACGATGAAGAAGTCTTTACAAAACATTGACAAGAAAGTTCATGACAAAGTCTTTACGATGAAGAAGAACTTGACAAAACATTGACAAGAAAGTTCATGACAAAGTCTTTACGATGAAGAAGAACTTGACAAAGTCTTTACGATGAAGAAGAACTTGACAAAGTCTTTACGATGAAGAAGTCTTTACAAAACATTGACAAGAAAGTTCATGACAAAGTCTTTACAAAACATTGACGAAGAAGTCTTTACAAAACATAGACAAGAAAGTTCATGACAAAGTCTTTACAAAACATTGACGAAGAACTTGACAAAACATTGACAAGAAAGTTCATGAAGAACTTGACAAAACATTGACAAGAAAGTTCATGACAAAGTCTTTACAAAACATTTACAAGAAAGTTCATGACAAAGTCTTTACAAAACATTGACAAGAAAGTTCATGACAAAGTCTTTACAAAACATTTACAAGAAAGTTCATGACAAAGTCTTTACAAAACATTGACGAAGAAGTCTTTACAAAACATTGACGAAGAAGTCTTTACAAAGTCTTTACAAAACATTGACGAAGAAGTCTTTACAAAGTCTTTACGATGAAGAACTTGACAAAGTCTTTACAAAACATTTACAAGAAAGTTCATGAGAAATTAGATGAAGAACTTAACAAAGTCTTTACGATGATTTTAGATACGATAAGATAGAATATGAGAGAGGTCCTATAAACCGGAGAAAGTGTCATATAAACATCTGTCAAAAGCCTCTTTTTAACTTCACTTAAATGTCACGTAAGAATATACGTAAGAATATACGTAAGAGGAAGGGAGCATTGAAACATCCAATAGTAAAACTGACACCACAACAACAGTTGCAACAACAAATGCTGAATGACCCCACTATGTTGCAACAAATGTCAAGCAATCCTATGCTTTTAAACCGAGTTGTTGGTGCACAGAGTGGAGGTTTAAGAGCGGCACTTTTAGCGAAAATGGCAGGCTATGGTGGAGCTGCAGACGGAACAGCATATAACCCTCAAAGTCAAATGAATTTGAGTTCACTCAAAAATCAAATAACAGATGTCAAAAAGTCAAACATAGACATACAGAAGCAAATAAGTGAAAACGAAAAGAAACTAGAATATGACAGACACACAAAGAAACTCAATGAGTTAAACGTAGAGAAAAAGAAGAAAGAAGAACAACTGAAAGAACTAAGTACAGAGGAATATGCGAAAAAAGTGTCAGAAAAAGCAGCAGAAGTAGCAAAAATGGAACAAGATGTCATAAATTTGAAAAACCATACTACTCGATATAAAGTACTGAAAGATGAAGAAATAAAACAAAAAGCCCTGAAGACATATATGGATAGCGATGAGTATAAAAAAGAAGTTGAAGCAACTGTAAAGGCAGAAAAACTTTTACAGTTGCAAAACCAAACCGTACAGTATGAAAACTTAGCACAAGAAAGTAAAAATAACGACGCGGCTATGCAAAAGGCAATGAAAAGCTCAGAATATATAAAAGCTAACAATGACTGGTTAGATGCCCAAGCCAACGCTAAAGCAGCCCAACTTATAGGGTCAATAAGGACAAAAATACAAGCGGATGAAGACAGTTCAAATGAAGCTTTAACAAATGCTGACTTTAAGAACGCCTTCGAAGCTCTTCATAGTAAGGTGAAACAAGTGAACGATTTCTCATCTGGAAAGAAACTGAAGTCTGAAGGTTTCGACAAAGAGTTAAAAGAAGTAGCACAAAATATGACGAAAATAACAGATGCAGCAACGAGACAGGCAGTTCAAAGTGCCTATGACGCCGTTAGAGCAACTGTTGTGAAAAGTCAAGAAAAAGAGTTACAACAGACCAAAACAGACCTAGTAAATGCTTTCTTAAAAACGAAAAGTCAGGTAGGACATTACGCTGCAGATGGAACATATGTGCCAGCTGGTGGAACATATGTGCCAGCTGGTGGAACTTATATACCAGCTGGTGGAACTTATATACTAGCTAGTGGAACTTATATACCACCAAACCCTCCAAGAGAAGCACCTGCACCAGGACTACCTAAAACATTTACATCGTCACATGGACACAGACACAGGCATGCACCAAAACCAACACAACAACCAGCACAGCAACCAACACAACAACCAACACAACAACCAACAGTTCAAAACCCTGCACAACAACCACCTCCACAACCAGAGCAAGGACATAAAAGAAGTAGAGAACAAGGAAACCAAGAATTCTTAAAAAGGCTTAAGGAAGACTATGGTTACCCAGATAGTATTGACTTTAGTGACAGATATAAAGAAGCTATTAGAAAGTTCAAGGATGGAAATACTGACCCGGACCTATTTAGCTTTATGGCTCAGCACCAAACGGATATAAATTCAAACCTGGAAATACAAGCTCGCTAAGGGATATGATTTAATAGCATATCATCCAAATGACATGAACGAATTTACTCCGAGATATTTGATGTCAGAGCTAAATGACAATTCAACTCCCGTCATGAAACGCGTAAAAAATAGAGACGGAACGAAAGAAGAAAGGTTTTATGAGTCCGGATGACTTAGATAGGGAAATTGTTTGAAAACGGTCTCGGAATATATGAAATGCCAGCAGATGAGGTACAAGAAACTCCACAGGAAGAAGTTCAGATACAACCAGACATGGAAGAAATAGTTCAGCAACAACAGCTAGAAGAGCCTGAAGGAAACGAACAAGTCCTTCCTTTGGAAACTAACTTCACAGAACTAGATGAAGATTTGGAACAGCCGAAAAATCTTGACCTCAACAAGAGTATGCGGAGAATATGGAATATTTCCAAGAGTCTAAAAAAATTCGCTGACATAGTAGAAGAATATCGAAAAATGTCGCCGACATACAAAAGACTCCAACACAAGATGAAAATATTCAGCATAGAATGGAAGCACTGAAAGAAAATGTAACACAAATACAAAAACCCTTTTTACTTACGAGCATTTAACGTTCAATCTTTCGGATGAACTCGGTGAAAATAAAAGGTTAAATTTCAAGAAAAAAACATATAGAAATGAAAACATTGATTTAAAGTTCATTCAGAACCTAGCCAAGATGAAACAAACCTACTTTTGTTTCTGCAGACGATGGAACTACAATGAGATAGGGGTCATAAAGCTAACCCGGATAAGGTGGTTCATAAACTTTACAACCACAATTCCAAGAAGTTGT